TTTTTGTTTGTCTTCTTGTATCCCTGTTTTATCCGAGTTTGATTAGGCAATACACATAGTTATCGCTGACTGCCTTCTTCCAATCTCCTGTTCATTCAATTTTTTTCCTTAGGATAGGTGTCAATGGCCTCCATAATCTTCAGTTTCTTTGTGCTTTCATTGTATGAAGCCCTTCTTTCCGTTGCTTTCCAATTGATCTCGTGTCTAGTCTCTGCGATGTGCTCCGCTATATCTGATATTTCAGTATTCAGTTTCCTGTAGAGCCTTTGATATTCCTTGATTCTTACGCCGATGTATTTCTGTTCACAGACTGCATGCTATGCAGTAAACGCCTGGACAATCCAATTTATCTACCCTCTCATGTTTCGTGGGTAGACTTGTAAAGAGTGTTTTTTTTCTTCTTGGTCACCTGAATATTCCATTTTCTTAATATTGGCCGTAGCTTTTGAGCTAGTTCACCTGAAGGGAGACATATCTACTTTTGTGAGTCTTTCTCCATCTTTACCTTTCTTTTATAATCTCCATCCTGCCATCGGCTCTTCATGGCCAGTATGTTGCTTTGAAATACTTCTCTCGGATATCCATTACCGAGGAATATCCAAATCAATTTTTCCCATTTTTCATCTCAGAATTCCACGTCCGTTAATCGTAGACTTCTGATAGTCATGCTCCTCCTTATGCCTATCTTCATTTTGTAATTGTGATGAGATTCGAAATTGAGTATTATTCCGGCATATGCCTTGAGTATCACAGTAGCTAGAATACCCTCCACATCTAAGAAGGCCAAACGCCCCACTCACTGACGATGCCGACTACAATACCGGTGAAACGTTTGGGAATGTAACACATCTACGGTTCAACTTTGGTAATGATCATGCAGACAATGGACTCCGGACTAGGTGCGTTCCTCTAAGTCTTCATACCATGTCACGAAAACAAGGTCACACAACCTCTATACAACGAAAGGAGACTGCGACCACATAAAAGGCCACACCATCTTTTTCTTCATACCCGTTCATAAACTTCATGAAATCCTCCAACTGTTCTTTTCCATTAGACCATGTTTCAATGTAGTCATCCAGTTACCGCATAAGAACTTTTGGTTGCAGTGGTGACACATTAAAATATTCTTATAATCTGTCCATATATACATTTAACAATAATGATGAGAGAGTTGTTCCCATTAGAAGTCCAAATTTCTTTTCATTTATGTTGAATTGAATGTGAAGTAGGTAGTACTTACTGCCAAGTTGATTAATCGTATTAACGACTTCTGATACTCTCTGCTTCTATGATATCCTCTTTTCGATCCAAGATTTCTAACAGGGCCGTCAGCGCCTGTGTACATAAATTATACATAAAAACTTACCAGTAATTCTGTTTCTTCCATTGTTATGTTTTTGATCCTTTGATAAAATTCATATGAGTGCTTCACTGTGTTTGATAATCTGTCGTTTACCTTCGTGAGTTTCAGATATGAACTTGCCTAATTTGTGTGTTGCTCCAAACTTGTTGTTAACTATTAGCCTTAGTGGTTCTCCTTCCCTGTGTAAATTCGGTAACTCGTAGACTGCATGGTCGTGCATCATTTTTATTAGTAAATCCCCATTGTTGTGCATTTATTTCAACATGTCCCGTAAAGTTCCATTGATCCTCATAGTTGAGTCTTTCTTTAGTAGTTGATAGATAGTAGATAGGTCCTGTCTTGCAGTATACATTCGATTTTTTCTATATTTTCTGTCCATTACAACTGTCGTTCCTCCTTTGTCCTCCTGAAGGACAAATTGTTCATTCCCTTTTAGGGTTCTTCGTATCCTCGCAAGTCTGCTCTTGGGAATTGGTTAATAATTTGTCAGGATTCTAAGGATGACTTCCATCTCCATTTCCCGTTTTGTCTCCTGAGGGGACTTGTCAGAGATATTGATGTACTCGACCAGCCATTTTGAATAGAAATGTTTAGTCCATTCTTTGGGATCTTAGTGGTTTTAGGATCAAGGGGAAGCGAGGAAAAATTCACCAGATTGTTCCTTTCGTCGCACTGTTCAGTAGGTGTCGTCGCCTTGGAAGCCCCTTAACTGGGCGCACTAGCTTATATTTACGTTGTTTTATAATTCCATACCTAGGCAATTTATTGTCGTATTTTTTGTTATTAAGTCAGAGATCCTACGTGATTTCCTGTCGGCCATATTCTGGAGTTTGTAAAAATCCTCCAGAGTCAGAATACTGGCCAGATCACGCCGGAGCTTTAACTTATGTCTATAAGCTGAAATAGCTTATTCCTTTCCATATTATAGATTTCATGTAACTTATGCAAGAAAGCTTGCTGAAGAATCTCATTGACCCTATCTGAACGAAAGTGTCTCTTGAATTCTCAAAGTCCAGGAATGATACCATAAGGTTTTCAAAAGTTTATAAAGGTCAAATGGCATGATTGACTTACAATTGCCTTCTTTGTCCGGCTGTAATTGGTGCATTGTTTGGTAATCTTACTTCCATAGTTCAAACTAAACTATTTAGACCAGGATGGTGGGGTATTTGTATCGTCGCGATCTCCTTTCGTTTTCTAGAAGTTGTTTGACATTGGTTTCGCAACTTGGTCATATTAGCAGGAATACATAGGGGAACGCATTACAGTTTCGACAGAAAGTTGGTCAAGGGATTGACTTCACTTTTTGTCTTTCACAAGTTATAGCTTGATTTGCTAAGAATGGCAAGACTCACTGATGATGCTGACTACGATGCCGGCGAGACGTCTGAGAATGTACCAAGTCCACGGTTCGACTCTAGAAATGATCATGCACAAGGTTCGTTCCTCTAGATCTTTCTGCTAATATTACCAAGCTGCGAAACCAAGATCAAACAACTTCTATAAAATTTCCCTTTTTTCCTTATCATTAAGCAAACTATTCTATAGGTAAATATTGTATAATTTATTACTCATCATGTCAGTCGCCTATATTTTTTTGTTTTCTGTCCATAAAGCATTATCTTCACGGTCATGTCACGTTTGCATCATTCTTGGTGGTTATTGTATCATATTATCTTGACTATTTTTGAGGGAGAGTGTCCAATAATAGATTCACTTGTTTGTATCACTATAAGACAATTGTGGGTCACTTTCTGCCAATAGTCGCCTGGCCCTACTAAAAGGCGGTCTTTATCAGTTATTTTTATACAATCGTGAGATTTCTATGCTTCCATCTAATTCATCTTTAATTGTCAGATTGTAGGCTAATTATTTGTTGTAAAGGGCCCGAATTAATGGCATATAACAGATGGAAACCCAGCATATTTTTACCATAGTTATATGTTGCTTGTTTGTATATTACTTAATTATTTAAATATCTTTATAATTACCTTAAACCATATTTAGCCCCTTATTTCTTATTGACCTGAACAGATCGAAGCCGTGCAAACAGCACAAATAGCCCCTCTCCGGACGTTTCCATCAATTCTGCCGGTTCATCTGACCTTCATTTTGCCACAGTAACCGGAAGCCAGGCCGACTCTCGCACCACCCGACAGCGTGCACGATTGCTGCTACGCCTTCGTGCTGCTTCTGTCAATAATATACAAAGACGACCGGCTTCTGAAGCGCCGGCTGTATCTGGAACTAGAGTGGTTGGCGGAGCCTGCACAGGTTCCAGTACTACTGTACTTCCTGAGATTGACTCGAATGGGACTGCTAGTGAATTCATTCAAATTCAGCCTAGTATAGATTTGCTAGAGGCATTGATTCGTTCCTACTGCTGTCGCCTTGACGATTGTTCTTCTCTTATCAGGAAAACCACGCGACATGTGTGTCGACTTTTTTCTCAATTTTGTTATCCACCTATTTTTAGATTTCGCTCTTCTTGTTTATCAAAACACATTTATTTCTTTTTTTCGAATCCTATTGGATACTCCTTATTTAATAATACTCATTTGCAATATTCATGGGTAACC